TCAGAAGTTGAGATATGGACATGTGAGCCGTTTCGACCAATAATAAATAGTTTTAACATAAAAAAATCACATAATTGAAAAATATAGATTTTGAACACCCTATATCTCTATAAACATTTCAGCTAGTCCCCAAGTGCGATACATAGATGAAATCGGCTCTCAAGGGTGAATCTAAAAATGTAATAATGTACAGGGTGTCTCATTTGAAAACACCCAGTATCATTCGATATCTTATAATTCGAACACCCTATAGATTTGAAAATAATTTTTGGTGATAGTTCCCAAGAAACCCTATAACTGTTGTAATTGAATTTTTTCTATATATCTGACGGTTTGGCTAATATAGAAGGAGAACACACTAATGGCTCATCTTGTATATGTATATAAAATTACTGACTAATACTAAAATAAATGATTTCGGAATATAAATCTACGTAGAAAAGTTGAAGAGTGTTGAATACTTAATTAATTTGTGTGTGTGAAAATGTAATGAGCACTCGAAAATATCTAAAATAATTGACTAATTATTCTATGGAACGAAATCCATCGATACTTTTTCTAATTCGGCTCTAATTGAGTTGAAATTTGACGACTGGTTATTTTTTTGTAATAAAATTGGATTTTCTGAATAACGAGTTCAATAAAAATATTGTTTTTCAAATTGGATGCGAAAAGAAGTTTTTTGTTTTGCCTGAAACGGATCTGGATTCAAAATTCGATTCATATTTAGTTTTGATGAGAAATATGAGTTGAATATACCTACCAAGTATGAATCGATTATACACAGTGGTTCAAAAGTTATGACCTGACCATAGTTGAAGATTTTGCCAAAATCAAGATTACGTTCTGTATCACAGTTATTGAAGATGATAAATTCTTAAAAGATACAGTTTCGAACAGGAAGCACGAAAATCAAAAGAAAGTATTTCTTGATTGGAGAAAATACAACAAACGGTACGAAACATACAGGGTACCTATGTAACGACGAGCTTACACTATCTCTATATCGAGAATCAGTCGGGAGAAATTCATGAAAATATGCAAGTGATCAGAATTCTGAATCTTTAACCACCCTGTATCTGTTCCGATTAGATATTAGTAAATAGTGAAACAAAAGTAGAGATAATGACATGTGAGCCGTTGTGACCGATAATGAATATTTTCGATACAAAAAAATCCTAAAAATATCGATTTTAATCACCCTATATCTCTGTAATCATTTTCGATGAACCCCAAGTATGATATATCGATGAAATAAGCTCTTCGTTCGAAATATCAATGTTGCTACTACTTGCTAGTAGAAGCGGCAACACTGCATTGTCGAACATATCTTAAATGAGCATGCACATTTTCATGGATTTCTCCCGACTGATTCTCGATTTAAAGATAGTGTAAGCTCGTCTTGACATACCCTGTATAGGATAATGAAGTTGAATGTACAGAGAAATATGAGGAAAAATTGAGAGAATTTATGTGCACTCACCAGCGTGAAAAAAGTGAGACTTTGATGAAACAACACGAAACACTAGAACAACACCCGATCCCGATATTATTATTATTGAATCGAATGAGGAATACAAAAACACTATATACGAATCAATACGATCACTCAGTTCTTAGGGAACACTCAGTTTGGAACGATAAATAATTCCTTTCGCGTATTTTTCGATGTCGATCACAAAATCCGTCCGTACGTGATGACATCTAATATGAGACTGTCTTGATTTACCACCTGGTCCCGAATGAATGACTAATAAGTTGAATCATGCTAACCGATTAATTTCCGAACAAAACACGATTTATCTATGACTAATGATGATAATTAAATTGAACGGAGGGGAAGGGGGGGTGGGGAGGGGGAGATATTTTGTATACAGGTGCTATTTTTTTTCGAAAATCACTAACGATATGGAAGAATTTTACATAGGCTGAAAATATTTTTTTTCAAGAAATCTCGTGATTATGGAAGAACTTTACATACAATATGTAGTGAGGAGATCGAACCCATTCCATTACCAAGGAATAATTTACTACAGTGACATTCAGGCAAACAATTTTTGTTTTGAAAATATTGGCCACACGTAGTGGAAATAAATCAAAAGAGTAGCTACTCTGAGATTTCTAGATGTATCGAGTGGTATCGGCTCAAAATACCTATCAGATTTTTGACATTTGTTGTTTTTTAGGTTATGTTGAGGTCATTGGCGTATCATACGTAAATTCCATATGGAATTCCTGATTCAACTATTCCAAGATATAGTTGACCAATCCTCTAGTTCTAGAGTTATAAATGAAAGCAATTAATACTTTCAACTTCAACATCCTGTATCTCAAAAACGGAGCAAGTTTATATAAACTTTATTTGTTATATAGAGTAATAATTATATAAACTACTGGTAAAAGTGCAGTTTTGAGCAGTGGTTATTTGAATACCACTAGTATGGAGGGAGATCTGGAGCCAATGCAGGTTTCGTGATATTTTCATAAAAATCTTCAGTGATCCACAATTTGGTTCGAAATATTTTGCTGTTTTGTGAGAGATTGCTGCACATACCCTTCAGCGATAGTAAACTTGTCGAGGTTCTTCTGAAACTATGCCCGGTATAATTTATGACATCAGGTAGTTTCAAAAATCCTGCAATTTATTTCATGAATTTCAGCAATAGAATTTTTTCCAATCATTTGGTATATACATTTTCCTGCTCTTAATAGCAGACAAATGAACGTATCTGGTATATTTACTATTAAATACCATATGTACTTTTCCTCCCTAGGGAGGAAAAGTACGGCGTTGCTCCATACATTATGACAAGGAATTGTTTACTTTGGATAGAGGTAGGCGGAAGAAGTTTTTTCCGCACTAGTGCATCTGAAAATTTGAAGGGTGATAAGCACAATGAAAAAGTATACCTGATATTTTATCATTTTTACCACGCATATATTGCTCAATTTACCGATTTTCCAGTTCGGTCTCTTCATGTTTACTTGCCATGTTTTAAGTTTATCTTCATTTGTTGGAAAGCTTACAAATTGAAATTTGCCATCTAACTGATTGGCACAGCATAACACAGCACATTTCGCAGAACATCTCATCCCAAATACTAGGTCATCCAACGAACAGCGAGGCTCTGGAACACATTGCCAAGGGAGGTGTTCCCCGAGGCATATAACCTCCAGAAATTCAAGAAGAACACCAATTCCTACCTTACTTCCCTCGGTTCTCACGGTGTTCTCTGAACATTACAGAATATCCCTTTTCGTGGGAACCAGAACATAAAAAAAGATGACGGTTGATTTCTACAGCCGGCTCTGTGTAATGTCGGAACAGCATTCCATTAGACTCACACCTTTCAACAGTTTCTTCGTCAGTAATAATAGTTCAGTCAACGGATGATTTGATTATATGTTTACGTTTGTGAAACCCTCACAGTTCGAAATACCTAATATACATTGACATTGTTTTTCTCAACTTTCGAGCCGTGGGCGATGAAATTTGGAACAATGTCATGAGCGAAATTAAATCAGCAAGCTGGATTATGTCAATCAACGAATATTTCCTGGGAAACTATTAACACGAGTTGTATCCGTCCCTATAGCACACAACGTCCAAGGGACGTCCCTATTTGTTACAATTCGAGTCCAAATGTCCCGGACCAAAAATAAGTGTCCTTGGGACGTCCCATCCCGTACATCTCATGTCCGAGCAAGGACGTCCCCGGAATGTCCCAGCTGGAACACCATTTGAAATGTCCTAGAAATAGCATCCCTTCGATGTCCCACGTGGTACATATTGTTGAATGTCCTTGCAAGGACGTCCTCGGCATGTCCCTGATGGGATATGATTTCGAACGTTCCTTTAGGGACATTCATCGGATGTCCCGAGTAGTACATATTCTGGTATGACTTCAGATCTTATATAATGTTCCTTCTGGACAACCATGAAATGTCCCTGATGGTACATTCCTTCAAATATCTCTGCACAGATGCCTTTGATATTTCCAGGATCGTATAACAATCGGAATGTCCCTTAGGGACATCCTTCGAATGTCCCTCAGGGATATCCATCGGATGTCCCAATTGGTACATGAACTGTACTTATTCAATGTCCTAGAAATAACGTCCTACGGACGTCCCAGTCGGTACTTTCAATATGTTGTCCCTGCGAGGACGTCAACTTACACCTCGCCGACGAATGATTGCTCGTAGGCTACAAATACTCCCCGTCAATGTCCTTCACGTAAGTCCATTGGACATCCTTGGGAAACTGTTTCAGGATCCATTGGGGACCTTCAACGGACCATCAACTCAATTGGATGTCCTGGTCCTAGAGGGACCCAGGAAAATTCAAATTCAAGAATTATTCGTAAGTCCCTGGGACATCCTATGGACATCCAATTGATATCCCTCAGCGTTGCCGATAGGTTGTTCTACGGAAGTCCTAAGGATGTCCTCCGTAGTGCTTGATGAGGAATACTGTAGAATTTAGGTACTTGATAGATGTCCCAGGGACATCTCTCATAAACGTCCCTAGTTGGTCCTCAAGTGGGACCTTTGTGCGTCCTACAGACGTCCAATGGACGTCCACGGTAACAAATTCGAACGTCCTATGGACGACCTGAATGTCCCGACAGGAGGTCCTAAGGATATCCATGGGACATAAGTGTGTTATTAGGGGTATGACTATTTCGTGTTTTAGGCGACAAACGAGCGCCTCGCGAGAGTTGCACACACTGCATCCGTCATCCTGGCTTCCAACATAATTGAAGTTATAAACGTCAAAAATATTATCGAGGAGATACGAGGTTGGTTGGTGACGACGTGTGGGTCAATTCGGCTCCTGTATTAGAAGAGCAAGTCCGATGAATTTCAGTAAACGAAAAAATATTGCTTCAATACAGGAAAAATCGTGAAAATGGTCGATTCTGATTAGTTCCCGAGAACAAGAGTGAAACAGTCGTGACAATATTCGACTTCAAAATTGGCTTCTCTCATTTTCGCAGGACTCCTCAGTCACACCGCCATGGCCTTGGCCGGAGTGCTCAACTTCCTGATGCCGGCCTCGTTGACCTTGAACCCGAACTGCGATTTCCGGCAGGACCTCATCCTCGGCCAGGAGTACTACATCTACAACACGCAGTACCCTGGCCAGTACCCGCCCTCCACCTCTTGCACGTGGTACGGTCGCAGCGAGCCAGGCACCAGGATCGTCCTGGCCTGCGAAGACATCGCTCTGCCCAGTGTAAGTAGGATTCAACAGTAATGTGCCCGCTTCACGTGCAGTTTTTCGTGACTCCCGGAGTGTCTCGCATCTGACTTGGCGCGAAACGTTCCAACCGTCTTGAATTGCTGGCGCGTGGTCATATACGTATAAATAACTATATGGATAACAAGATCTCATAGTTGATGCCAGAAATAAAAACAAAAGATAGTCCCCGGGGATTAATAGACTTATGCGCATGCGTCAATTCGAAATTAGAAACGACATGAGTTTGACGATTGCTATACGAATTTGATGCCCTCTTCAGTAAACGTATGATCATTATTGAAAATCGACAGAATTTAGTACATAACCTGAAATTCAATGTTTATATTTTGATATCTGAATCCATTCTGAATCTGAAGCCTCAGACAAGAAATCATGACCGAGACTTCACTGGAATTCATATTTGCGAAGTTTTGGTGGATCTGAGGAAGCAAACAGCTTCAATTCGCGGTTTTGGAACGAGTTTGCTGAAGTTTTTTATTGTCTCAGAATACTTTCAATAATGGCCAACAAGTGCAAGACATTATAAACATACAAATGTACAGCTTCCCAACATAATATGCAAAATTATACGAAGTGTGGCAGAACATTACAAAAATTGGGAAGCCCATTTACAAATATATGTGCCTGTCTGTAGCAGATACTTAAAAGATCAATTGACTTACCTGTTAAGGAAAATTGATCATAATTATATGAACATTTTCGTCGAAGAATTATAAAAATAACCACTTGTAGTCGTTCCTTTCGACTCTACTAGGTACGAAGTTCAAAGACAAATTTTCAACATCCACCCTGATACCTAACATTCCTGTGCCCAACCGATACCGCCTAGCAGCCGATAGTCATTTCTTGAAAGTATTGCTGGATCGTCAGGGAGGGATCGAATAGGGCGGGAATTTATAATTCTTCGACGAAAATGTTCATATAATTATGATCAATTTTCCTTAACAGGTAAGTCAATTGATCTTTTAATTATATTTCACATTTTCGTCTCGAATTATAAAAATAACCACTTGTAGTTGTTCAAAGAGGTCAGACGATCCAGCCTATGAACGTCTGAGATCAGTGGCTCACAATCTATTGAAATACATATCAAGTATTTATAGTGATAGTTATAGTGATTCGAAACAAAGTCTATAGAGAATATCAATAGGTCTGGTTAATGAAATATTGTAATTAACCATTCATACCTAATACTCGCTTGCTTCAATATTCCGTAAAAAAGGAAAACAATTTAAGGACAATAATATCAGTCTTTTAACCTCGACTTCTAACCCATAACTTAATCATCGTTAACCACTGAGCCAGAAAGAACTCGCAAGTGCTTGGGTTATATATCGAGTTATATGTCGTATCGTAATCGTATAGTAGTGGTGGCAAGACAAAGTTGAGGTTTCTCTTTCAAAAAAGGGCAATAATAACACTTGCTAATTTCTTGACCAGTCAGTAGTCTTGTCCACCCTATCATTTACCTGTATAATTCCTCTCAGTGTCAAGTTACAGTTACAATTTTTGTAATCAAATCTGAAAAAATTTCTAGAGATAAAGTCTCCAAAGGTTAATCAGTTATTTTGGTTGTGGAGGCCTTCTATTGCAACTCCCCTTGAAGAGGCTTTCGAGGAGCAGGCTATCGCTTTCGTTCAATCGAAGAATCAGAGATAAAGCCGACTTATATGAATTTTATCAGCGAGAATGATATATCTTGTTTATACTGCTGATTTAAGAATTCTAAAATTTTATTGCGAACCGGATCATAAAGATTCTGCTTGTTATCTTGACAATATCTGTATCAAATACTCCTCTGCCACCAGGGTAGTTCTTTTTCACAAGGAATGAGTTGATCTGATCCCTCTTGCTCTCTTTCTGATTTTGATTGTTTTGCTCAACATATAAAGTATAATCGCAAATGGAGGAAACCTAGAAGAAAAAGTGTTTCCTATTGTTGGTGAATATGCATCCACCTTCCAAGAATTAGGGTCTGTGGCTTCCATGACATAAACTTTCTACATTTTGTATTGACTGATGAATCGGTTGAGTATATTTCTGGAGAGCCTAGTTGTTTTGAAATAATATCAAAATATTTTCCTGACAATTCATATTCTGTTTCAATTGAAGTGCAGCGTGATTTGCTGACGGCCTCAGTATCTTGTTCCAAATTCATTTATGAGGCAAATATCCAAATCTGTCTATATTACTACCATTTGAGTAGTCCCCTAGCCAGTGAGAGATACGTCAGAAAAAATTCACAACATGAAAACTATTGTTTCTTATCGGCATTCTGTTTCTTGAAACAGATTCTGATCAACAATTGAAATCGACTAATATTCTAGTGTAAATGTTCATGACATCGTAGCCTCATGGTTGAAGTGTCAGTATTTTATCTGGATTGCCGGTAGATGGGTTCGATTTCCACCACGACCGCAAAAAAAATTTCTGATGGCCTAAGAGAGTGTTTGGGATCACACGTTAAAAGGTAAGACCCCCGTCCTTCCTTGCTCGTCCAAGTCTTTTGAAGACTTTTGAGGGTTGGTCGTAAAGAGGCAACGGAATTATGGATAAGAACTTTTTTTTTTTTTCTCGAACATTTCGTTGACTATAATCACCATTAGAATTATTGAAACAGGTATTCCAATATAATTTGCAAATTCCCTGATTTCACAAGTTTTGTTAATTTTCATTCTCTGTGTGAAATTTCTAATTTTGTCAATTCTTTCACCAGGTAGTGATATTTTCATGTCAGTAGTATCGAATGAAAATCCAAGAAAAGTACACCTCAGGCAAGGAGTGAGATGGTACACATTAGTTAAAATTAATTTTGATCCCAAAACACTAACAATCTTATAACTGTCCTAGAATTTTTCTGACACTCCATATATACTCTCTCTTGCAATCACTACTATTACTAGTATGTCATCTAGATAAATTATACATGTGACAGGTAGCAACTTTTTTAAATTTTTTCAAGACAGGATTCATCGACTCAGTAAACACATGTGGTACTATAGGACGATAGATTTATAGAATGTCAAAGTAAAGAGGCCAAAGAGGCCCATTGGGAGTCAATCAATTGATAATTTTTGTTTTCAAATTTTAAACAGATATTTTCGATCTATCTCTCTAAAGATACAGAGTATTGAGCATCTTTCAAGTCTATTTTTGTTATATAACAATTATTATGTAGGAGCTTCGTCACTACTGTTCGATAATCCTCTAGTATAAAGTATATAATTGTATTAAGGTTTTCCGGTCTAGTATAAACCAGTGAGTTATATTTGATTTCTTGGCGAGGAAATATGTGGAGAGAAAAGATTCTCCGATAAGGCCAATTATTGAAACTGTATCTATGCTCAGCAGCTTATCTATAGCCTTTCTCATCTCAGCCAAATTTCTTTCCTGTATGGAAGTTATTGGCCAAGACTGTTGGTAAGGTTTCTTCGCAAAATTCGTTTGATAACCCTGCACCTAACTCAAAATGGGAGGATAATTGGTTGAAGCTTTACAATTTCTGATTTCTACAGTAATGGATCCTGTACTGCTGCTCACCTCTGTCGAAATTGTTTCTCTGTTTTGTTTAAAACCTGAGATTTTGGCAGTTATTAAAGTAAGAGGAAATAACGGCTTCTTGAGCAGATGCGCTCCTATATTCTTCATATGTTGATTGTATTTTACTCATGTAGGCGTACGCCCCGAACAGTAGTTCGTCAATAGGCCCCTCCACGCATACTTTTTGGTGGTGAAGTTGAGATGAGGAATGATCAAATACCTCCGATGTAACGATATGAAGTGGGAGGCATCATCAGCCAAAAGTTTAGTCCCATTGACATATTTCTCAAAATTTCATTGGATTCGTTTGTATTGGCTGCGAATACAATTTATAATTGGGTCTAGCTACTGCAGAAAGACCCATTACTAGCTATTACTGTGAATTGATGAGGAACTCATTCAACAGACTTTTCTGGAAGAACGGATTGTATTTCATCAGGATTGAGCCTCGCGGAATCATTACCTAAAAATCTTTAATCGGAGGATCTCCGGTCCAAAAAGAGGACTCAGAATCAGAATTTTTTTTTCCTAGAGAAATAACTCTTCAGGAGGATGAGTTATGTTAATTCTCTATCTGAATCTCGCTGGGGATCCTCATCAGGAAGCTCGACTGGTCTATCCTCACTTTCGAAACAATTATATATGATGCGAGTGTGAGTTGCTCCAGCTACTGCCACTGGTCGTGGAGTCTAGTGCAGAAAAAAGAGACAAAAAAGTAATTAAGCTCTGTCTACAGTATATATACCTCATATATTGTGAATGTGAGGCTCGGATGAACGGAGGAGTGAGGTTCCCCTCTCCCCCCCCCCCCTTTTTTTAAAGTTTGACTCAATCAGGTATATATATATTAAGATGGCTACAAGGACATATATATATACCGATAAGAAAAATTTTTTCACCTGTCAACAATGACAAGATAAACCTGCCACGTAGTGACATTATAACAGAACCAAGAAACCCGCAAGAAACGGTTCATCAATCAGCTGTGCACATATCTAGCTCTTCTCAGGCCAGTCTTGGGCAACTCTATAGTAGCGGCGCCTCGTATGAGTGCCTGTATTGTATATATGTTAGCGATATCTCCTTATAGCTACGCCATTGTAGCTAGAATGTGGTAAAAAGATGCTTAGTCAGGAAATGTCAGCAGTCTGAAGTCGAACAGCGTTGAATTTTAAAAATACGAATAATAAAATAAAGACTTTGGAGTTAATTCCATTATTATTAGGAATGATTGCCTCTTGTAGTTTACATATTTTTCGTTCTATCCAGCGTTTGCCGGATGTCTATAACAAAAAAACCAAACCCTGCATTCAGTTGATAAACAAGGTCATAGTACCGTAGCGGCGCCTCGTATGAGTGCCTGTATAGTACATTTTTCATTTCATCCAGCGTGTGCCGAATGTCCATAATGAAAAAACCAAACCCTGCAGTCA